CTTCCAGCCTTCTTAATGCAGTGAGATGGATACCAGGTTAGGGATTCTTCTCTCTGCCTTACCTGGCCACAGCACTTCTATGCTTGCAATAACAAGCATTTGGTCAATGGTAAACATGGTCCAAAGCCTCTACATCAGCATGAGCAGAGTGGCAGTTTGAAGCCTTAGGGACCTGGCAGTGTCTTCTGGCAAGAGGAATTATTTGGCTGTTGGCCTTCTCGTGCCACTATGATACCAGCTTGCCATCTTTTCCAAAGCTGCAGCAGAAAAGATAAGAGCCTGGTTGGAAACATCTCAAATATGAGACAGTTGAGGCTTCCTTATTTATTTGTCTCCTAATTTGCTAGCTACTTTTGCAAAAGACTTCATGCAACTTCATGCAAACATCGTGTTTGTTCAAATCTCTCCTTACAGTGTCTGCTGGAACCGTGGTGAGAAGGGGGCTGCACAAACACGAGATTGCACAATTATTTGACGGGCTGCAATACCTCTTTGCAGCAGGATGAGGGCCTCAGTTCTGTATGTCTGGGGGATTTAACAGAGGTCTGAGACGTTGGTGTCTGCTTTTCTTGCTGTTTTCTTCTAAATAAGTACTAATTAAAGCAGAAAAATATTAGGCTATATTAAAACTCTAAGCGATGGGCTAGTAAATGCAGTTGGGATTTCATTAGGAAAGTGGTAGGTGATGTTAGTGTGCGTGAATAACTACAGCTGGAGTCTACAATTGCAGATCATCACTGGCATAATATTCTGCCTGTGGGTTTTTTTTTTTTCTTTAAAGCTAGTGTTCAAATACTTTAAACATCAAAGTCTTCCCTTCTACACATTATTCGTTCTTGCAAATGTCTCATATCATGTAGTAGAATGATCAGAAAGGTATGTCTCTTTAGATATGGTAAATCAATCCCGTGTCCTTTTGGAAAAGTGGTTGGGAATGATTTTATGGTTATTAACTTGAATTCAATAATTTTTTTTTTTCAACCTAAGCTTTTTAAAATTCAAAAAACTTTGAGGCAACTTTTCAATCACCCTCTGCTCTTCTCACCTCTCCCCAAAAGTAAAATCTTACTTATTTTGTTTCATCAGCAAGTCAATTCCTTCATCTCCTTCTAGGGACATTAAAATGAAATTGAACAGAAAACATCTCATAAAAAACTGAAACTGATACTGATCATCTGAGTACGTACCCACCATACCTGGGACCGCACAGCAGAAGGCATGGTGATGCCAAGGATTCTGCTACAGAGATGGTGCTTTGTGGGTCTGACATGATCTTTTTCTATAACTTTTTCTGACCACTTCTGGGGAAAACTGGAACTTGGGAAACGTCCAGATGGTGATGGGTATCTTGGTCACATACAGTTGCGGCACAATCTAAAGTTTTCACTGGCTGGTAAAAAAACCTAGTTCCTCCGTATTGGCTGAGGTTAGTAGCTCCAAATGAAGTGGGGTCATATTGACTTGGAGTCTGTTGCCTTGAGTAGTTGCACGATGGCCTCTGCAGATAATGGCTGCAAGACCGATGCTAAAGGTTCTTTTCAAAATCTTTTAGTTCAGTGTTGTTTGAAGTGAAATTTACTGTCTCTGACCTCAGTAGCTAAGCAGAACAGGATTGTAACTGCAGAAGCACCTGAAGTTTTCCGCTATATCAACATCTTCGTGCCAAGACGGAGTGTTCTGCAGTAACCAAGAGTCAACAGAAGCAAAGATAACTGTTGCAAGATCAACATTGTACAAGGCCAAGCACAGTTTCAAGGAGAGCCACAGACAATAGCAAGGTTTGGTGGTTTTGTGCTGCTGTTATCATCGCAGCCTTAGCTATTTGACAGTACAGTAGCAGCCCAGAAGCGCCCCAAGGCGATAAACCATCTTTACTACATTAGGGGAGATGCCTCTGACAGATGGCTATTTTACAGCGCTGACTGTTTTTTTAGAGTCTTTACCTCTGGCTACTTCACATCATCTTCAGCCAGCTGTCCTTCATCCAGGTGCTTATTCTGGCTGAGCAGAGTGATAGCGGAGAGATGTAAAGAGTATGATCAACTATAGACTGTCATTTGAATACACAGTATCTTGCTGTTTCTTCCTAGCAGCTTCCTAATCCATCACGGATGATAGGAGTGAAAACATGAACCCTATGGAGATGAGCAGGGGTAAAAAAATCAATAAGAGAGAGTAATAACACACGAGAGAGAAACTGGGTTTGTAATTTGGAATGGGATGCCGGCACGGCCTCTGGCTGGCTCTGCTGATTTGGAACAAGCTACCAATGCCTTCCCATGTTCCCCATTTGTGAGACGGGTCGGCAATTGGAGCTGATTGGTATGGTTTCCACAAAAGCTTTTTCACTGAAATCCAGATGTTGCATATACTGATTTTGATCTGGTTTTCTTTTGGCAATATATGGCTTTCTGAGGGAAGAACAACTTGGAACCTGACCCTTTTGGGCAGGAAACACTGGCTTCAGCTCAGTGCTGTTTGTGTGAAAATATTTGAAAGCTTTTTGGTTTTGTTCCAATGCAAAAAGAAAATGCATTTTCTGACCTTGACATTTTTCCAAGAACATTCCTGCCATCCTTCAGTCAGCTCTAATGGTATGTCTTCTGTAACTTGCTTTGAGATCTCTGACTGAACAGCGATCTATAAGAGCTAGCTGGTATTTGAATGGTGTTAGGTCAGGTTTCAGCCATATAAGCATATTCTCATGATCTTCTGTACACACCGTAGACTATTTTAAGCTGACCATGTAAGAACATTTGCTTAGCCAAAGGAAACAACTGTTTGACCTAAGTCAATCATGGCTGACATCGTGTCTTTGAAAGAGCCCATGTAAAACTGCAGTGATGCGAGGGGGGAAAAAAATAAAATCAAAACTTGGGAAACTCTGTGAGGTGTTTTACAACTCTTGGGACAAAGTGTACACTCGTGTGTCAGAATCCAAGCTGAATTCTTGTGGCCAGCTTGTGAACTTGGATTTTATAATGGACATAGTGATCTTACAGATTCTTAACTGTATCAAGACCAGCAGGTGTTGCTATAATATATTAAATGCTGTGGAGACATCTAATAAGCTACACTGCAACAGTAGTTCAATACATTTTCTTAAACCAAATTAGTATTTTCTCGGAAAACGTAATGCTATGACAGACTTGCAATACGAATACTACTAAAATAATCAAAACACTGGAAAATTGCAGGTTCTGAGCTGCTTCTGCTGAGCTGACTGAGAGTTTTACTACTGCTTCCGTGAAAGAATATCTGACCCTGCATTCAGGTATTATTGGAGGCTTCAGTGTGTTTGAGAATACAGTTCTGTAGGAAGTAACCAAAGCTTGCACATATTTCTAGAGGCATACCTATTTGCAAGAGATGAGACTGCAGAAACCTGTGGCATCTTTTGCCAGAGACAAGATTAGATTACGGTTAAATTCTGGTCTAGGCTTGTTCTGTGCTGCTGATCCCTCCAACACAGCTTTCACTGGTGGGCCCCAGAAGACAAGGGGAGAATTCCTCTAAGACAGAAACATCTTCTCAACCACGCGGCACCCTCAAGGGCCTTGCGGAAGGTGAACAGCGGGAGGGGCAGAAGTAGGACAGCGTGGAGGGTTGGTACCTCAGGACACCCTGAGCAGGCCCTGCCAAGTCACGGTAAATTTGGGGAGGCTGTAGCTTTTGCTGGATTTTGAGCCTGGCACCTCCTGAAACCAAGAAGGAAGGACAAAAGGAAAAAAAATTCCCATGGCCAGGATTATATTATGGTATGCACAACCCTCTAAGGGAGATGGTGTACAAAGGAGGACCACTGCGAACGTGAATGGAGAAGCTGCGAGCTGCAAGCGCTTATCTGTCTGATGTCCGTAGGTATCGAGCTTAGAGTTGTTGGTAATTCTTCAGCAGTCACTGATGTGGTTTTGAGAGTAAGGGCCTAGGCTGCTTTTCTCCACCTGCGTGTGCTTGGCAAGAAACTTGTCTTGCGTGTGGCCGTGGTCCCAGCCCTGTCACTTCCAGGTAGGGTCAGTAGCCAATGTTGTACTTTGGCTGCTGGGAACACCCAGAGCCGAGCACGTTAGCAGCTCTCCCTCTTGCTTCCTTCAGCTTGTTCCCCGCGGTGAGGCGGCTGGGCCATCAGCTCACCCCCAGGGCTGCACCCAGAGGCAAGGACAATCTTCGTCCTCTCCTTTCTCAGGAGCAGCCTGCAGCCCCGCTGGGGCAGGGTGAGGGCCCTCCGGCTGGGCGAGGAAGAGAAAATGGCCACTGGGGTCTTCCGTGGGCGAGCAGCACGCAGCTCCCCCGGCTGGTTCGCCCGGCCGTCGTGCGAGGGCCGGGGCTGCACGGCGGG